ATGTAAAATCTACTTCCATGGTCAGGACTTTTAAAACTCAAACGCTCATAAACTTCAGGAAATATTTCAGTTCAAATATCAACACCACTCTGCCCTAGGTCTCCACATAAATTATCTGATGCTTGCCTCAATAGCTTCTTCTCTGCTCCATTGTTAAACAGTGCGAAAAGGTCTGTTTAAAATGTATGTATGGCAATCGCAGTTTAGGGGTTTTTAAACTCACTTACCGTCTTTGAAATGGAAGTTCTTCTTCCTTGGTTAAGGTTCCTGCTTGTGTAAATATTATATAAGATGCGTTTCTAAAGTATTTTATTGCTAAGCTCAGGATTTAAATTCTCAGCACTTGCTAAAAGAAATTCGTCTGTTTGTAAGATAGTAGAATTTATATTTAGGTCTTCCGGTTGGTTTCTATCGCTTTGATTGGCATCGGTGGTTCCACTTTGTTACCCTTACGGCCACAAACGTCAGACTACATGGGGATTAGCTCTTGACTAAATCAGCAAGGCTCGATACATAAGTTGTCACTTACTCGGCACAACTCAAAACTCTACAGTGAGCTCGGTACTCGCTCTTTTATAGTGAAGGTTGATCAAAGACAAAATAATTATATGTGCGCCTGCGCATAAAGACTTTAGCAAGTAATGACGAAGGCATTGCGCAGTTTGCAAAAAAGTAATGTTTTCCAGAATTTCTATATGAAATCCAAAGTTTCCCGTCAACATAAACCGTCGAGTAACCGAGTCATAACTTTACAATGATTGTTTTTACAAATTGATAACAGCTTCAAATCAAGGAATAGTAAAGATATCTACGATTGCACCAGATCGCTACTACATAACGACCAAGTATTAAACAAACAGTTGGTCCAAACAAATCGTAGCTACGGACGCTAACAAAATTCCGCCTCTAGGACGAATCTTGTTTAAGATTAAACTTTAGTATAAATAAACAAGATACTACGCGCGCTCTGATTGGCTAAAAACCATTTACCATAACTCTATGGAAACATAGAAAATTGCTTCGGGATTTTATTTCATAAAACAATAGAAAACGTTTTCCCTGTGTTTTCCATAGAGTTATAGTAACACTTGTGAAAGTTTGCGAAAACTCGAAATTGCTGTGGAAACAATTGCCTACGGCTCGTGTTTCCACAGCATTTTCTCGTTCTCCTAAACTTCACTCGTGTTACCATAACTCTATGGAAACACAGGGAAAAACGTTTTCTACTTGGTATATAGCTGGAGTTAATTTTGATCCCCAGAAAAACATCAAAGACAAACTTGAGCAGATAAAAAGTGAAATGGTAGACATGAAGGAAAAGTTGGAAAACTTGAGAATACCAAGAGGAGAAAGCGATGAAAAAGGTAAGTTCAAGGAAGTTTTTACAACGACAAATTATGTATTATCAGGTATACTAATACCATGACGTACATAACCGCATGACCATCATTTTTCATTATGAATAAACATCCTACGAAAAGAGGAGTTATATTTACTTTGTATAGCAACACGTCATGTACAACGAGAACATATTACATGATGAGTTTCAACGTAACTCGACATGCAAGCAAGACAACACCAGGGACAAATATCGGACAGCCTCCTAAAAATTCCTAAAGGAACCCATGTCTCACATAACTTACTTCTTCCTTCTTAATCTATATTACAGTGCGCAGCCGAATATATTTTACTATAGATCAATCGCGAGAATTGACATAACATACCTGAACCCAATCCAAAATGATTCTGTTTCTTGAAAACTACAATCCAGATTTTCATGCCACTAACGTTGCCTGGCTACTCTGTATTATAATTGCGATGATTGTTATTTTACTTCTACAGGTGCTTTTGATCCAGCTGAGCTTATTGACGGAATTCGCCAACTCTACAAAAGCCGCGAGGGATCGCTTTCACCGTTTCCTTGGTGTGAGGAGTTTCACTTTAATCTTAATGATATTTATACCAGACTTAAAATGGTCAGCAAAGAGAAAACCAGAGGAACAGTAACAGCCGACATTGTTAACATGTCTGCTATCTTCAATCCGCATGAACGAATGTCAACAGCCAAGAACAGTGTTAATTGAAGGGAAGCCTGGTATGGGAAAGACAACTTACTGCAAAAAGGTTGTTTACGACTGGGCTACTGGAAAACAAGAAGAAAAGCACTGCTTTCCGAGATTCGAAATAGTGTTGCTGCTGAAATGCCGTGATATCAAGTCTGACCTTTGGGAGGCCATTGATGATCAACTTCTGCCTCGAGATATCCAAGTAGACGTCAGAGAGAAATTCTTCCAGTATATTCGCCACAATCAGTCCAACGTTTTGCTGATACTCGATGGATTAGATGAGTTACCTGCCAGTAAAATGCCAGCGTTTTCTGAAATCATTCAGGGAAGAGTGCTTCCAAAATGTCACATAGTTGCTACAGCACGTCACGAGGCTGGAATAAATGTAAGAAAATACTGTGACACGCTGCTGGAGATAGAAGGGTTTACTGAAGAAGATGTCAGAAAGTTTATCTTCAAGTACTTCAAAACCATGAGGGATTTAGCTGAAAAGCTCTTATCCAAGCTGAGGAATGATAAACACGCTACAAGACATGGCGGCAAATCCTCTAAACACGGCACTTCTTTGCCTTCTGTGTGAAGAATTTCAGGGCATTTTTCCAGAAAGTAGAACTCAACTGTACCTGGAAATAGTACAGTGTGTCTTGAGGATATACAGAAAGAAAAAAGGGTTACCGAAAAACCGGCGAGGACCTAACTAAAGTATACAAACCAGAATTGATGCAGCTTGGTTGGATAGCGCTGAAAGGTTTGCGCGAAGGAAATTTGGACTTTGAGGAAAGTGAGTTAGGAAATCATATAAAGGACTTACCTGGATTCGGATTTTTGTCAGTGCAGCCTGGAGGTAGCAAACTAAGACCGTGTCCGCGTTATGCATTTCTACACAAGAGTTTCCAAGAGTACTTTGCAGCATATTATATCTGTTGTCAGCTTCTCGGTAAAGAAATTAGTCATGAAAGTTTAGTTTCTGACCTGAGGTATTTCAATGAGCTGAAACAGGTGCTTTTGTTTGCATGTGGCATTCTAGCAGGACAATACGAAGAATCAGCAGCGGCTCTTATCAAGAGTATGATAACACAGTTGAACAACGATAACAATCCAATAGCTTGTATGTTGTATTGGACTGCATCACAGAATGTAAAAGAGAACACAGTAATGTTCATGTGCAATTGGCACGATTGTTTGGCTTGTTTGTTAAATTTGACAGTATTACAATTAGAGATCATGCATTAGGAGTTAGTGGTGCTGCTTCCCTTGCTGAGGCAATGAAAGTAAACACAACACTGACACAGTTGAATTTGTCGACAAATAACATTGGTGATGCTGGTGCTGCTTCCCTTGCTGACGCAATGAAAGTAAACTCAACACTGACACAGTTGAATTTGTGGCATAATAACATTGGTGATGCTGGTGCTGCTTCCCTTGCTGACGCAATCAAAGTAAACTCAACACTGACACAGTTGAATTTGTGGCATAATAACATTGATGCTGCTGGTGCTGCTTCCCTTGCTGACGCAATGAAAGTAAACTCAACACTGACAGAGTTGAATTTGTCGGATGATAACATTGATGCTGCTGGTGCTGCTTCCCTTGCTGACGCAATGAAAGTAAACTCAACACTGACAGAGTTGAATTTGTCGTATAATAACATTGATGCTGCTGGTGCTGCTTCCCTTGCTGACGCAATGAAAGTAAACTCAACACTGACAGAGGTGAATTTGTCGAATAATAACATTGATGCTACTGGTGCTGCTTCCCTTGCTGACGCATCAAAGTAAACTCAACACTGACAGAGTTGAATTTGTGGGATAATAACATTGGTGCTGCTGGTGCTGCTTCCCTTGCTGACGCAATCAAAGTAAACTCAACACTGACACAGTTGAATTTGTCGGATGATAACATTGGTGATGCTGGTGCTGCTTCCCTTGCTGACGCAATCAAAGTAAACACAACACTGACAGAGTTGAATTTGTGGGATAATAACATTGGTGATGCTGGTGCTGCTTCCCTTGCTGACGCAATGAAAGTAAACTCAACACTGACAGAGTTGAATTTGTCGAATAATAACATTGATGCTACTGGTGCTGCTTCCCTTGCTGACGCATGAAAGTAAACTCAACACTGACAGAGTTGAATTAGTGGGATAATAACATTGGTGCTGCTGGTGCTGCTTCCCTTGCTGACGCAATCAAAGTAAACTCAACACTGACACAGTTGAATTTGTGAGATAATAACATTGGTGATGCTGGGTGCTGCTTCCCCTTGCTGACGCATTGAAAATAAACTCAACACTGACAGAGGTGCATTTGTGGAATAATAACATTTGGTGATGCTTGGTGCTGCTTCCCTTGGCTGACGCAATGAAAGTAAACACATCACTGACAATTTTCTTTGACAAATTTATGAAATAATTCATATATGTGGACTGCGGTGTAAAGAACGAAAGGGAATGAGATCTTCGCAGTTATATAAAAAAAAGCAGTTGAAAAGAAGGCCTGAAAAAAAATTTCAGGCCTTCTTTTCAACTGCTTAAGTTGATATATAACTGCGAAGATCTCATTCTCTTTCGTTCTTTCCACCGCAGTTCACATACTGTAAATCCTCGAATAAGCACCTCCCCTCGAATAAGCGCCCCCCTTGAATAAGCGACCCTGATAGAGTCATAATATAAACCCACCCCTCTCCTTAAATGCAGTCAAGGACGAATGTATGAGGTAAGAGAAGGCAGAAATACTACAGATTTCTTGCCAAAAATAAAATTTTATAAAACTACAACTTGTTCAATTATGGAATTGACAAGAGAAAACCGGAAATTTGAAATAAGCGCCCGGGCGCTTTATTCGAGGATTTACGATATATGAATTATTTCATATAAACATCATCGCCATTTCATCACTTGACGGGTATAAATCGAACTCGCAATTGGCCAGCCTCCCAGTGGCTTCATAGCTCAGTGGTATGAGCGTTTGCACCGGAATCGCAAAGTCATGGGTTTGAATCCCGTTGGATGGAGATTTTTTTGGAGATTTTTTTCAGGCCTTCTTTTCAAGTGCTTAATTTGATAAATAACTGCGAAGATCTCATTCTCTTTCGTACAGACAATAACATTGGTAACATAATTTAATAGTAAACTTGAACCATAAAATCTTGTTTGTAAGGGCCTATGGCCCTTGGGATAGCCTGCGTGCAGACCTCTCTTATTTCCTTGCTTCGTGCGTGAAGCATGGAAACAGGAGACGTCTGCACGCAGGCTACGTTCGCAGGTGTTCGCCATTACATTGAAAACGCTTGCCCCCAGAGTGGAGATATTTGAAAAACGCCTGACCGGGGCGGTTGCCTCGGTATTGTGAGGCAAGTGGACCCTCCTACAGGCACAACTTTTTCTCCAATATAAACAGGGTTGATCACGCCTTGAGCGAACTACACTAAGACTGCGTAGCTGGCTATCTCGAAATGCGAACGAGCGCGAGTCCGCGCGAGTCGAGGTCCAGTAGCGCGCGAAGGCGCGCGAAGGCGACCGAGCCAGATCCAGGGGGGGGGGGGGGGGGGCCTAGCGCGAAGCGCAACAGAGTGAGCGAGGGAGAGCCTGCCTCGAAATGGGTGACAACAAAAGTTCGCTTCGGCCCCCGATGACCCCCCGATGATATTACGTCGACAAAGCTATATCATCTGTCAACCATGGGTTTATTTTTTGTGATTTTTTCAAACCAGTTCGAAAGTCATGTCCAGATTCGAGGAGTTTCTCGCAATCGAGTGAGATAACTTCAAAACACCGTACCTCAGTCGACGATTTGCATGGCCGCCAAATTCACGATAATATGATGAATCTTTCGATCTCAAGGGACTCGAACAATTGTTGTGTCCATCGCCCGACACCCCGCGCCCGCACCGCACCCGCCCTTTCTGCGGATGCGTATACCAGCGGCGGGTATATTATACAATGTTAAATTTTCCAAGCACTGCTTGTTGATTCCTAAGACACTGCAATAATTTCTCAGACAGAAAGATTGGCGGGCTGAAATTCCATTGGATTAGATGGACTGACCTCCAGGATTTGATCCTTGCATCGTATACTCCAGGGGATAATACTAGGAAAGCGCGCGAAATTACCAATACCGAAAAAATGACCAATAATCCCGCGAGAATAAATGCACGCCGTCAGTAAACAATTCCCTCCTCGCCTATAGTCATCAAACACGGAAAACAGTTGAAAAATCAAACTTTTTCCGAAACCAAGTCGAGTCTCGCTTCCGCTCACCGATGATTTTTTAGCGAGCCCTGATCCTCAGGCTACCAGTCTATTATATTAAAAATGCTTTCTCTTGAAGAGATGCGCGCAAAGCCGTTTTGTTTGCTCATCCTTCAATACACCGTAAACAAAACTGGCAGATAGTTCACGCGTTCGTATTTCTATTCTTTGAGTGACATATCAATCACCCGAAGCGGCCAAAATTTATTCCCATGGGGCGCTCTCAGCCAATGGGAATTTAATTTTACGTTCTCTCAGAGCCACGCTAAAATTACAGCTTTTGAAAGGCTTTCTTGCAGCAGGCGGCAGGTAGCCTCAGACCTCCCCGACCAGAACTCCGCTCGTTTTCGCCCCTAAAAATTTACTTCGCGCGCTAACTAAGACGCCAGCTACGACAGGCTAGCACGTAAACTGGGAAAACTGTATCTAGACTTTTTGTACTGTGCTAATACCTGGCCAATTAGTTTTATCATATGTTTTTT